TTACTAGCTATTGTGCTTATCACAGTAGAGATGCGTGCATACATCCAAAAATCAATATCACAACAGAGATTTGATAGTTGATGATTCGCAATATGTTTTCTCCGTGATATTTAGAATCGAATGATATTGAAAACATCGATCTGGTGCTTCTATTAATTATCATAAGATTATTTAATGTGTTTGTTAATCAACTCAAACATCCCAGCGTAGATTCGTCGCATACCCATTGTCCAATATTCAGGTTCATATGTGATAAGAGCATTCATATATTAGTTCAGTTGCTGTTTTAATATTGTTTTATTATTATTGATTACAAAAGCGATTCATTTCCGAGTAGCTAGTTAATTTAAATATTTTCGCGTGCACGATAAATTAATATCATGCTAAAATTAATAAACCACGGAACACTTGTATTTTTTTGGTGCTAGACAGCAGAAAATTCTTCTTAATAATGATCATTGAAGACACGTCACAAAAAATTTATGATCTTTATTAATAATTAACCAATAATATTACATATCTCAGATCTGAAGTAAACCCACAATTTTAGAAAATAGGGAGAAAACACATTTAATGAGAGCGAACGTCTTTCAACTTTTCAATCACTCAGCACTTCTACTAGGCACTCAGAACTGGGCACGTTGTGCTAGACACTGCTGGGAACTCTGCGGGCTGGGCACGCTCTGCTAGTATACGGCTTGCTGGGCACACTATGCTGGATATGGGCTGGGCACGCTCTGCTAGTATACGGCTTGCTGGGCACACTATGCTGGATATGGGCTGGGCACGCTATGCTGGATATGGGCTGGGCACTTTATACTGGATTGGGCTGGGCACTAAAAATAGCGTTAACTAGAAATATTTAAAAAAAATTTTATGAACTTATTAATAATCAACCAATAATTTTAACATATCTCTGATCTGAAATTCATAATTTAGAAAATAAGGAGAAAACATATTTAATGAGAGTAAGTGTCTTTAACTTTTCAATCACTCAGCACTCTACTAGGCACTCAGAACTGGGCACGCTCTGCTTGGTACACGGCTGGCTGAGTACACTCTGCTAGGCACATTATGCTGATATGGGCTGGGCACTAAAATAGCGTTAGCAGGAAAGATGGTGAATCTGATTAATATGATTATTTAATTATTTAGTAATTAATAGGTTTAATATATGATTTTTAGAATTTAATATTAAATATTTTTTCAAATATCTTACTAATTATTATACGAACTTTGTCTAATATTGTGTATACTAGCTAGTAAAATAGTGCTAACTAATGTAATCGATATTTTCAATGATCTATGTACTTTTGTATTGATGACAAATTTTAATTTATATATCATTGAACTTAATACATATATTGTAATA